ACACACACACACAAAAAAAAAAAAAAAAAAAAAAAGAAGTGTGCGTGCATGGGTGTGCGTCCGTCTCTATCGTGCACCGTCCTCTCCACCTGTCTTCTGTTTTTAGCACAAAGATACGATACGCGCAGCAACGGCGGAGGCCTGAAGATGTCCTTCGGAAAGTCATAAGCTGAAGCCTTTGCCTCGACCGTACGGAGTTTTCGCGTGGATTCTGGGAATCATGCAACGTGTCCCGAAATGGCTGATTTGTGCAATCCCTGTTCCCCGCCTGCAACGAAATTCTTTGGACGTTGCCACTTGATTGCGGAAAAGGTAACTAAATTCATTAGCGAGTATAATACCTGCGCTCAAATCAGTCGTGAGCTTTCTCGAAATAAAAGAAGAAGAATAAGGAGGAGTGGAAGCCATGCTTTGGCATCACAGGGAACGATGGCCTGTTCTAGTTTGGAGTTCTAACTGCTGTAGACTTTTGTGTCCTTTTAGAAACGACGAACAGGCCCACTGTGTGACAGGTTTGCGCTTGAAGCTATCATAATGATAGGACAATCGTATCGAGCATAATATCACTGTGTCGATTGGATCATTCCGTTCTGTAGTCAGAGTATTGAAGCAATGGTCTGCCGGGCGTGAACTGGAACCACGTGTTCTCTTCTCGTTTTTCCTTTGATCCTGTGTCTGCGTTCGGGCGGGAGGGAGGTTTTGGTGGGTGGGGGGCGAGAGCGAGAGCGAGAGAGAGAGAGAGAGAGAGAGAGAGAGAGAGAGAGAGAGAGAGAGAGAGAGAGAGAGGGCCTCGTCATTCGACTACTGTAGTGACGGGCAGAGATGAACAGACGAGATCCCAACTGTCACAAGGGGCGAAAGAAAATGAAAGGGTCTACAAATGCCTCGTCATTTGATTAGTGGTGTACATGATGGACTCACGAGTTTTCCACTGTCCCAAAAAACCGAAAAAAAAACAAAAAAGAGGTAACCAAATGCCCCGTCCCATGACGAATTGATTAGCCAGATTCGCACTGTTTGATATGGAAGACCCTTCCCTTTGTAGACCTCTCTCGAAGAATTGCGGCTCAAAAAGTGTCAACAGGTGTCAGAATGGTACTATCGACGGCCACCCTCTCCCATTCCTTTCCTCCCTCCCCCGCCTGCAGGAGTGCCAGGAGACGGAAACTCGAAAGTGCACCACCTGCGTTTCGAGAATAGCTTTCGAATTTGCATTGTCAGGGACTGTTCCATGACGGCCGTGCCCTGTGGAAAGGCGGAGTCCATTTGGCCATGAGTCCCATGACCAAAAACCTTGCCCCTCGACAGCCTGTGTGGCCAAGTGGGGGTAAACTGTAGATCTCCAATTTCTTTCTAAGAGGCTCGCCACACAGGCTGTCGAAAACCCGGTTTTCAACAATTTTGCATAGCCACACAGACTTCCGAAGAGTTGAGGCTCAAAAAACTTTCGACAGGTGTCAGAATGGTACTTTCGACAGCGGCCCTCCAGCAACCGGCGGCTGTTTCCTCCCGCCTGCAGGTGACGGAAATTCGACAGTGCCCCGCCGACCTTACGAAAATTGGGTTCGAATTTGCGTTGTCAGGGTCGAATTTGCATTGTCTGGGACTGTTCAGTCACCATCGTCCGCCTGGCCATGACCAAAAACCTTGCCCCTCTACAGCCGCTGTGGCGAAGGGGGGGTAAACTGTCGACCACGGACTTTCAATTTTTTTCTGACACCTGTCGAAACTCAAACCTGTGTGGCGAGCCCCTAAGAGCTGTGGAAACTCAGTGGCGTGCCTCTTAGGGCCTCGCCACACCAATGTCGAAAACTGCATTTTCGACCTTTTCTCCTCGCCACACAGCATGTTGAAATCCGAGATTGCAAAAAAAATTCAGGAGCTGTCAGGGAAAGGGTTCCGGCACCTCCTGTTGAGAAGGGCTCTTTTCCCAGCCTGCAACTTGGACATTTTCAACAGTCCTCGGATGGGATGTCGAATTCTTGCCCGAAAAAGAGAACGCACCAGCGCTTCACAGGACTTGTGAGTTCTTCACTTCTACATGCTGTGTGGCAAAGAGGGGTTTTCTGTCGAAAGAGGGAATGTCAAAAATCTCCTGACATATGTCGAATTTGGTGATGTTTGGACATTGGTGTGGGGAGGCCCGTACTGCGTCCATTAGATTCTGACAGATCCAACGTGCCCTGTTACTTTGGCTCTCACCTTTTGGCCAGAGAATGGAGGCCATAGAGAGTCCCTCCACAACTCTGGACATGCACAAAAGACAAAAATCATGGCGGTGTATCTTTCCATGTACTAGCTGAAGATTCACTCTAGAGAGAGGCCCATAGTTCTAACTTTTCCCTTTGTGTGAAGGGAGAAGAAATGCCCTCATTGTATAGGTATTATTGAAAACTACTCAAACTCAGGATCTGTTGACGCAGATTTGCTGCTGGACATCATGATGAGGATAAAGGAGCTCTGACCTCTGACGCTCCAATAGACAAAGGGATCTGACAGAGGAAGGACAAGTAGAGACGAAAAAGAAAAGAAAAAAGGGAAGGTCTACAAAGGCGTTCACTCTAAGGGTAGGTAAGTACTCCCAGAATGATGGTAAGGAAATTGTGTCCCCATTACCAGTGTTAAGGATCAGCTTGTTTGCTTGTTTTTTTTTTTGGGGGGGGGGGTTCTATTCGTGGAGATCAGCACGTACTGGGAACTGGGCCCAGCGTCCCATATACGATTCAACAAGTCATTTGAAACACCAGGGCCATTACCTGGCTTCGGCTGAGAACAATCTGGGAACTATTCAAGGAGTTGAGGAAAATTTAGGAAGACCTGGATAACTGCTGACCTATTGCTAAGCTACTCAAGCAGCAGTTACTAAGTCAAAAGGGAAAGCCACAGAAGTCCTTTGAATGCTCAGAACCCTGGAATCCCTAACAAAACCCTCCAAAATTTTATTACACTATCTTATTCCCTGCCGAGCTCTCCTAGGCCTCTTGCCCCCACCCTGCTAGGTTACAGGGCAACACGACTCACCCCAGCTCCGGCCAGTGTCGTCCCGACAGCAACCCTTGGTTTTCCCTTGGAATGCCACCCCAGGGCATCCCCAAATCTCTCGACCAGGCCTCACTCTCCTGCTATCAACAGGTTACATGTGTTACATGCCTGGATGGGCGATGTACATAATAACCGAGGATCCGCAATGTGACAAAAAGGACTGAATGGATAATGCTGTGCAAGTGGAATCTCAACTAGCAGTGTGCATTCTGATACATACAAAATGGTGCTGAATAGCGCAGGGAAGACTTAGATACAAATCCTGACCTGACCGGGACTGACCTCATTCACGTAGTATAAGATACCAAAGCAGAATGCTAGAATACTGATGACTATCCCAATCAATGTTTCAACGTAGACCAAACATACATCATGCTCATCACACGGTGTGAAGGAGCCTGGCGCTGTACACAGAAAGGAAGCGCCAGGTCCAGACATACACAGACGAAGAGGAGGGGATCAGACGAACAATGTCTGAAGCCAAAAGTCGAGTCTGGATTCAATGTCACCAAGCTCTCTCTCTCTTCTCTTGTAGTCTGCTGATGCAGTGAAGTCAGATGATGAGAGGGTGAGAGGGAGATGGACTGAGAAGAGGAAGAAGAAGAACTCTCTCTCTCTGTTACGAGCCAGGTACTAACCTGTGAAGTTGGCGCTGTGCTGCATGTACCTCGAAGACGAAGCTGGAGCAACGGCGCTGCAGGTAAGTACCTTTGACCTCCACCCAATCTTTCTCTCTCTCTAGTGCTATCCTAGCTATGGCGCCCAGCGCGGAAGACTACAGCTACCTACTGCCCCCAGCGCTGAAGACTAAGGCTAACGCTACTACCACTCCTGCAGCGCTCCCTCCACAGTGCTGCTGCCGAATCCTAAACACTACTGCCTCCTGCCTACCCGTGAAGTGCATGGGAAGTCCCTATGTACTACATCGGCCTGCCTCCTGACTGCCTGAAGGGCGAGCCAGGCCGAGGAGGCTGCTCTTGCCAATGCCGAAGTGTGCCAGGGGCTGGCGCTGCAGCATCTCCCGAGGCTGGCGTGGGAACAGGCTAAGAATAGCCTGTTCCCGAAACCCTGGCTCGGTGCCTGAGTTTCAGGGCCGGTTGTTCTGATGAACGACCGAAAATGGCCCTTCGTTTCAGGAAAAAAGGCTATTGCCAATTTTAGTCTGAAACGACACAGGGACTGTAGGCACCTGTTTTTTTAGGCTTTCGGGCTGAACAGTCACGGGGCCTGTAGGCCCTGGTTTTCAGGCTTTCAGCCCGAAGGACGCAGGGCCTGGAAAATGGCCCTCGTGTGCAGGCAGAGCATGTAACACCCCCCCCTCCTTATGAAGTCAAGCCGGGGCGAGGGTGGAGTCGACGATCTGAAGGTAGAACCTGAACGCGAGCGCGGCGTGGAGCCGAAGAGACCGACTTGCCTTGCATCTTGCGTTCGTGACGTGCGAGAACGTCTGGAGCTGTYGCTTGAAGTTCCACACGGGTTAACCAACGGTCAGCTCGGTGTGTGCAGTATGCAAAATGCACCAAATACTCAGTTGGCTTGTTGCCAAAGCGTCGCTGGGAGATGATGTCGCCGACCTCCTGAAAACCGTCCATAGAGGGTGGGTCTTGCGAACGTCTCCTGGGAAAATCGTCATGATCCGCTGGCGTGTAAAGAACCAACTTGGAGCAATGAAAGACCGGGTAGACGGGCAAGTGGGCGGGCACTTGAATCGTGAAGGAAGGTCCCTCGGGTGCGTCCCCAGCGGGTGCTACGATTGGCCAAGGCCCCATCCATTTCGGGAGGAGCTTGCGAGAGATGTCTTGTTCAAGGCTGAATTCCGATGCGGAAACCCAAACGAGATCGCCGACACGACATGGGCAAGGAAGACGCTGGCGACTGGCCTGCTGGCTCATCCGTTGCTGCGTCTTAGCCATCTGGTCGCGTGCCTTGACAAGAAGC